GCTATCAGTGTGCTGCAGACAGTGGAAAGATGGAAAATATTCCAGGTGGCCTTGACAAATCACTGGAGTCATATATTACTGGAATTACGTCTTCGCAAATTCAGGGGATTAGGGTAATTTAAAACTCCCTCACAGTTAATGTGACAGTGTGCCAGAAGTATATCGGCAGGGTTCACAGCCAGATCGGACATGTGTTTAGGGTTAGAGAGGAATCGTGATGTACAAAAGACAGTAATTTAGCATTTTATATTCTGAACATATCTGCCTGTCATTACAATGATATAATGGCCTCATCTCCAGCATGGGTTTGTCTTTCTTCTCGCAGTGGCTCGTCAGAATAACTCCAAAGAAGGAAAGTCAATAATTAAATGTCCACTAATAACAATTTACAGTATGGCTCTCTGATTGTCATGTATCACACCTTTTATATCCTTTTGCAACCACAAACTCACCAAATCTCTCCAACAACTGGGAAAAACATGGCTGAGGGCCCCTTTTCTTCCTGTTTGTGGAGCACAGCTGCATTATTTCCTACTGTGCCACAGGTTCTGACATGACTTGAACCTCAACAATGCTCATTCATGATTAACTGATACAGTGTGACAAAACGACATTTTTTTTGTGGAAGGATCTTTTTCATCAGTAATTAATCATAGTTGTATTTCCTTCATGACTGAATGCATTACTCTATCTAGCATTATCATTTTAGCATCCTGTCAGGTTCAAGTGAGTTTAAAGAGAACTGTGCTTCTGGCAAAAAGGGAAAGTCTTGTTAACAAAAAAACAAGATTTTGTTAATATTAATATAAAATACTAAGAAATAAATAGTAAATTATTTACTGAACATCATCAAGAGTTTTTTTTCTAGCTATTTCACCCAGCACTAGTGTCTGATTTAAACTGCAATTTGAATATCTGAGGGTTCACTCAGAGAAATTAATAAATCTCACTTGTGTGACTGCAATACAAACGTTATACAGTACTATGCTATAGCCTACTACACAGTAATTTTGCCATCACTAATTGTGAAGGAATTCTAACTAGTAGAAATAAAAAACAGTGGTATTGTATCTTTTTAGAAGAAGTGCTTGTCTTTGAGCTGAAAGCATTACAGACACTCTGGCATTACAACTCTGTCATGAGTGACAGATGATGTGCCATTATGCTATAACAATTCCTTAAAACTACAAACACGGTGATGATAGAAAACAATAATGTGGCATGAAAACAACATCACATTCAAAACCCACCCACTATAATATTAGAGAAAAACAACAAGCCAGAAGGGATGTCGGCTCAAAACAATAAGCACAACAGTACTGTATGGTTCTACTGAGACATGTTTCTCTTTAGGTGTGTCCACGATAGCATTCAATGCTGATATCCTGAGCACGTGGAGCAGTGCACGGCTGCCATTTGAAGCACATATGAGTGCCCACAGAGCAGAGGTAGTGAGAGACAGTGGGGGGGGTCAGCGGAACACAGGTGCAGGCTGCGTCACTCCTCCGAGCCATCAGCCGTGCCTGTCTCCACCACGCATTCACACAAGCCCACCTCAAAGCCACACTTGCTTACATGTACCCTCAGTGACATCACGTGACAAAAAGAGGGCTGTGAGAGGACTTTCACAAGCTTTTAAAAGTTATTCTTTCACATATGCTCTGTCTCACACTCAAAAAGTAATTCAAAGTTGCTAGAGGTCTTCAGTGTCACATGATCTATCAGAAATCATTATAATATGCTGATTTGGTGCTAAATAAAAGTGTCTATTTTTGTGAACACCATGATAATTTAATTTCAGCATTCTTTTTCTTCAGGATTCTTTCTTGAAACTTCAAAAGAACAGCATTTATTCGAAATAGAAATATTTTGTAAAATGATACGTCTTTACAGTCATTTTTTATCAGTTTACTATAAAACTGATATTTCTATAGTACTTAAATAAATATGTCCCCGACAGAGGACAGAAATGGGCTGGGACCCAGAAGGATAAAGAGACACTCTGATGACAAGTACAACAACAGATAAAAGACATAATCCTGATCACAGTGGCACTTCAAGATAAACCGGCACTCATAGGAGTTCATAATGAAGCTTGTGTCAAAGCTAATCGTTGACCCGCAAAATGAGATAATCTACGGTAAGTTACCCTCCATGGACTAGACGGATTAGTGTTCAACACTTGAAGGTTTTTGCTTTGTTTTGCTCTGGTGTTGAGTAACATGGGACTCCTCTCTAAGCTGCCCTCTTAACCCTGAGAGGGTGGCGTGGTGGCAGGGTGAGGAGGCAGAGAGGAAGAGGATCAGTAGGGAAAGAGGATTAGCAGCTTTGGGCTGCTGCTCTGGCTCCATCCTCACACCCATGATGCTGAGGACCCAGCCACGGCCTAAAGCGAAAGAGACTAGAGCGACCAGGTCGTCAAGCATGACTGCATCTTTGGGAAGGGCGAAGGAGACAGGAAAGAGGCCGTCGATCCTTAAGCCGCTCTGCACTGCTCAGCAGGACATGTGCTGAGTGGACCGTATCGGTGGCTTACCACCAGAGGTCACAACCAAGGGCAGGGCAGTCGAAAGGTCAACGTTAGTTGTCTCTTCAGACAATGCAGACATAGCTTTCACATTGTGAGGCACTAAAGAGGTAGATCATTTACAGCAGATGATATCTGCTATTAAACATGCCATTACATCAAACATGTATGGGTTTCTAAATTGTCTTTATGCATGGAAAAACAAATTGGTCGGTCAATGCCAGTTCAAAATTACAGACTGAACCTAACAATACAATGTTTCCTAGAAGCTCTGAAATGCTTACGATATTAAAAATGATCTTTATATTGTTTAAATAGAAATTTGATACAGTGTGGCTATGGCACTCTGGGACTACAGAGTCTCCATTAAACTTCTGATGGTCATTAATGTTCAAAAGCCTTTAATGAATGTCAGAAGTTAAATGGAGGTTATTGACAAATTGAATAAAATATATTTGAAACTACAAAGATGGAAGTAGAAAGTTTGGGTTTACAATTGTTTTGGTTGGGTAACACTGACAACTTATCCCAGCATTCTCACCTAAATTTGGTTCCTGATGATCCAGACAGACCCAACGGCTTTTCTAGGTAGTGACAAATAGAGAAACATGAATACATTCAGCTGACGTGTGTCTAGCCAGATAATTCTCAGTTGTAAGTCCCTCTCACATGCTCTTATTTAATTATAATTTTGTGCGTGCTTTTTTACCCCAGCCGTTCTGCAACACTGGCTATGCACTTTAAATACGATTTAACCAATATTAACTCTGAAATCTTATCCTCATGTCAAAAAGTGAGCTGTATTTTCATGTGGTGAGGAGACCTCTGCCAACTTGGATGCTAATCCCCAGGCCAATGGTTTGGAAATCATCATCGCTACATATTAAGAAGCTGCCTAATAAAGCTAAAACTGAGGAGGCTAAGAACCTGATAGATGGTTTTATTTGGCAAGTGCAGTGGAAACCTATTTATGCAACAGACGCAGTTGTGTGTGCATGCGAGCTAAATGAGGAGCTAATATTTTGATACACGTCTTAAATTATGGCTTTTCTGTTTGCCTAACATGTTCCTCATATCCTTTGGTAACTTATTTAGAATCAAAAGTGTGGCAATGTGGCATGGTGGTGGGACAGGAGGCAGCCAGAGGTTTCTGGTTTTGGAGCTGCTACTTATGGGGTGACCCCGCTGGGACATCGTACATTCCGCTGGGTTAGAGAGCCTATCCAAAAACCACAGATAATAGAGAGGGAAGTCAGCGCAGACTAAAATCAACTGAATATATGCATGTGGATGCATATTCATAACTCTGCCCTTTATGGTGATAAAAGCGGCCCATTTATAAGCCTTTTATCAAATAAAAAAAATCCTCCGAGATGTTCCCAAAGGAGGGAAAAAGGTCTGCATTGCCCACACAAGCAAACTATGGCTCAAACATTATCTGCTGGGCTCAAGATTCTGCATCCTGCCTCCAGGTCTCACGGGAGAATGCTGGAATCTCTAGCTCAATGATAGGGTTCCAATAAACAATGAATCACGCTGCTCTGAGCAAGCGTGAAAGAGAGCCGTTGCACAAAAAGAAAACCGAGCGTGATTTAATGGACGTGGTGCAAAAGTACGGCACATTCCAAAGGGCTGATCTGAAAAATATTTAGAACAGAACTGCTAAAGTGTCTTCACACTCTGGGAAAAAGAATAGGCCTGCGACAAGAGCGTTCAAACAAGTAATGAGCATGACGCGTCAAATACAGAGTCAATGACGTCCCCTGAAAACGGCCTGTTTCCAGTAAGGATTGCACAAATGTGTCATTAAATGTGTCATTGAGTGCTTTTGTTGTTACTTGTTTTGGTTTATATTGCGATGAGAGCAAACTAACATTTCTCTTAAACTCAGTTAATTTACAGAAAATCGATGCAGATGAAACATACAGATTTTACACAATCTGAGTCTCTAAATAATAGATTGCATCACATTATCAGCAGTGACAAATAATAAATGAATAAACCTTATTTCTGAAAAAAAAAACTACAGACTAGCAAAATTACATACCAGTACCCTTGTTTTAAAAAAAGGTCCAGCCTCCGCTTGTTAAATAACATTTGTGGCTAACTTTGAGACTGAACAATGCATCCTTTGCCAGCTGCAGCTGACTCAAATAAGACACTTAAGAACAGGGTGTTTCACTTTAAATTCAGCTAACGTGAAATTAAACGTCAAATTAAACACTACAGCTTCTGCATGGCCAGTGTAACTCCTATTTGGAACAAGACAAACAACTTGTTTTCAACAGAATTTCAACATATAAATCATATCGTGCATGTAGAGTACGGCAGGCACTCCACATTAGACGTCAACTGACCATATGGCATTGTATCATGTTTACTTCATTAGATTTAATACAAAAAAGTGAGCCTCTGTGTAATTAAAACAGATTTAGCATTGTTTGACAAGAAGAGAAGAAGAGATGGGCCTTACCCTAACAAACGAAGCAGCGCAATCCTCGGTCCTGGACCCAAAATATCCAGCTCAAGTCTTATTTACGTTCTTTCTTCCTTTGCTTTCAATGCTTCTCTCTACTTGGAGCTTCCTGGTGCTTTCTCCTGCTCGGGTAAAATGCCCTGTTTGAGGGGGAAGGGAAGGGAAGAGAGGAAAAGTGTTTCGCTCAGTGATTCAGAAGCATGGTGTAAACGCCAGCCTTCTCTTTCTGACAACCAGCGTTAATTGCAGATCAGACTCGCCCACACACTCCAGACTCTCTCTATTCACTCTCTCCTGGAAGGAGCTGAGAGCAGGCTGTGAGATTGGAGTGCTATGAACAGCACAGTGGGAGATGCTCTAACCCCCACCCTGCGTAACACCAATCACCACCTCTGGAGCTCGACTTCACCACGGCTGACATTATTTCACAAGAACGGCACAGGCATGGACAGACGCCCATGGGACGACGCACACTGACAGTGCGTCTGAGTGCATCGTATAGCATACGCTATAAATCTGTTGCGTTACACCCGATGAAGTGTAAACTACAGTCTACAGCAAGCCTATGGGAGAAATATTAAGAAACGGGCCTGAGAAAACTTTTACAGCTAAAGTGAACTCAGAGCTCAAGCTGGAAGATGCAAGAAGTCACATGTCTGTTAGAATGACGATTAAGGCGGTTGAGTCTAACCTGGAAATATTATTAGATACTGATTGCATCAACTAGATTAGCAGTGACTGTGGTCGAAAAGAGGAGTGATTTATGAAATAAAAAAAATAAACATAACAGAAATAGCAGCGTCATGTACAGAAAAAAAAACAGTCAGTATCTAATGTAATGTCAGTATCTAGTAATACAGAAACCATACATAAACAAAAGATGCTATATTAACAGAGCACAGCACGACACCAATTTCAATTGTGATGTTGTGCTTTATCAAATTTGAAGAGGGGCATGTTGGGTGAACAGCATACAGAATATTAAAAGAATTCCTTCGCTGACTAATTCATTGTCGAGTGTGTAAACAGAAAGCTATTGAGTTTCCGTGTGATGTTTTCAGTGCTGACTTTGCACCCATGTTTAGTTTAGGCTTATTAAACTATAATGAAGTCGCACAGAAAGCCAGATGGAAAAAGTGTGATGGCATTATGCACTTGACTGGGATATTAATTCTTTACAATGTACCTCAGATGAAAACGAGGGCAGCAAAACAAATTTAATTAAAACATATCTGAACATGGTTTGCAACAAAATAACTTCAGTGTGTGCTATAAGCACAGTTCATGAACCAATATTTCAGTCAGAGTGCACAGAGATCAAACAATCAAAAAGAATCAATTCTGACACCAATGCTTATTAAATCCCTGTCCTTCACAAATACATACTTCATATTCACTTATGATATTATATAAAACTTGGGTCCAACTTTTATTAAGTGTCTTTAACTACTACTTACATTAAAAAAATAGTTTGGTACAACGTTCTTATTGTATTCATGTTGTACTGGAAAATACGTGTGCTGCTATTGAGGTGAAATATGTGTTATATGGATTCGCTGAATGGTTAGGTTTAAGGGTGAGTTAAAGAGTAAGGGTAGAGTGAACAGTGTAATTATAGATTTGATAATTATAGAATAATTACAGAAATGAATTACAGATGTAATTACACTTTTTACAGTATATAAATGTACATAATTTAGGAAACATACAATTAATTTTTTATTGTATATCTCAAGCAAGCACTAAATAATCAATCATGTGCAAGATTTTTTTTTTTTTTTTGGCACTTCGTTTCCTATTATACCATCTCTCTGTGCAGCTTGAAATATCAAACTAATCAATGAATCTATGGTGTGCTAGGCCCTGACTACTGGTTGTAAGCCTCTTAAAAGCCGAACAATCAGTGGGACAAACATTCTTCCTGAGGTCATTTTCATGATGCTGTACCGTGACCTGATTGCCTGCCTCGTGTGGCTCGTAATTACAATGCTTGTCAGACACAAGCAATGAGCAACCCTATGAACACATCCCCATTTAGCCTTTGACATTCGGACAACAGTTTGAGACACTGTGGCTTACTTTAGTATTAGTTTTTATCAATTTTATATCTCTATATATATATTGATAATTATTTTAATTGTTAAATATTTATGACTGACATGCCTAAAACACTCTGTGAAGGTCAAAATGACATGTCATCTTGTAATATTGCATTTAAGGCGAGTCTAAGGCACTTTACCGATAACTAAATGGCGGGCTACAGGGCCATTAACAGAGGCATGTGTAATCTTACAAGCACAAGTACTACACTCTCTGCCTCTGGATGATTAGGCTGTTCCTTCACTGTGCATGTCAAAGTCAGCAGCTCTTACAGAAAGGAAAAAAATGATTTACAATGAATGCTTGTTGTACATAAAGGTAAAGCATTTAAAGCACTAACTTTTTTATCTAACCTTCTTTTATAGTTTGTCTCTGTCCGAAAGTAAAGTAAATACTAAAGCTAACATTTTAAACAAGCATGTATTAAGGTGCTGAGAAAAATACCAAACTATGAATTCAATACAATCAGTTTTAAATGTTATAAAGTGAAACAGTATTAGTCTAGTTTTGTTACTAATAACAGTGAATGACCCCATTGTTGGTTAATGGCCAAACTAAACATGAATGAAATAAAAATTAGATTTAATTGAATAACTTTAATGCAGTAATGACCTTGCATGTGAGTCACAATCATGTACCACACAATAGCTAGACCTCTCACTAGTTTGTAACAAGACCTTGTGACTTCAAGAATAACATTAAATCACAACTGAAATTAAAATGCTATTATAAAATAATTGATGGCATCAATTTACACTTGTCTCAGTTTATTCACTAACATACAGTATAGAGACTCCAATAAACCCTGCGAAGCTTCACCAATGTGACACTTCGTGCTGTTACTGGTGTTAATTATCCAAAGCTCTGCAAGAGACCAGCACCAGATTTCACAGAGAAAACTATCTGCAATCACTTCCCAATTTCAAAATCATTCTCGAAGTTCGGCATAATAAAAGATCAATAACTTTCCCTAATATTCATAAAGTGGTCGGACGTGCTTTAGATGGCCACGGAGATAATATCCTACATTTTAACCCTTTTGACTGTGCGTGTTTTAATGTTTCTTAAAATGGAAAACATTTACTAATCCCTAATTATAGTGTCCGAAGTACAGTAAATTAGTATATCTAGTTGTCTCTGCTAGTTTGGATGTTTTAAATAACTGTTCCGTCCAAACAGCAAGACAGAATGCAAGAAATGTCTGTCTTGCAACTTCAACCAGTCTTCAAAAACAAAACAAAGTACAGAAATATTATGTCCTGAAGTTGATCTTGCCCTGTTCTGAAGTTCTGAACATCTGCAGATGACCCTCTTCAACCATATTCAGAAGCGAAAGCTTAACGGTTAGCAAAGTACATCCACACAAATTCTAACTTTACCGTAAATATCTGCTGGCTTTCCTGACTAATATCTGTCGTTTTCAATCGCCCCTCCATAAATATTTACAGCACCAGATTTCACAGAGAAAACTATCTGCAATCACTTCCCAATTTCAAAATCATTCTCGAAGTTCGGCATAATAAAAGATCAATAACTTTCCCTAATATTCATAAAGTGGTCGGACGTGCTTTAGATGGCCACGGAGATAATATCCTACATTTTAACCCTGTTGACTGTGCGTGTTTTAATGTGTCTTAAAATGGAAAACATTTACTTTACTAATCCCTAATTATAGTGTCCGAAGTACAGTAAATTAGTATATCTAGTTGTCTCTGCTAGTTTGGATGTTTTAAATAACTGTTCCGTCCAAACAGCAAGACAGAATGCAAGAAATGTCTGTCTTGCAACTTCAACCAGTCTTCAAAAACAAAACAAAGTACAGAAATATTATGTCCTGAAGTTGATCTTGCCCTGTTCTGAAGTTCTGAACATCTGCAGATGACCCTCTTCAACCATATTCAGAAGCGAAAGCTTAACGGTTAGCAAAGTACATCCACACAAATTCTAACTTTACCGTAAATATCTGCTGGCTTTCCTGACTAATATCTGTCGTTTTCAATCGCCCCTCCATAAATATTTAACACCGCCCGGAAAATAATGATGCGAGACTAGAGCGCAACATTTGCCAAATGTCAAAGTGGACTGAACCCAAAACCACGCACGAGCTCTTCTTCACAGAGAATTACGAGCACGAAAAACATTGCTGTCCTTCAGTCTGGAGCTCGCGACTCGACAACAAACACATCCAAACGTGTTGCCGACCACTGAGACACACATATGACAACCATGTTTAGCTTCCCAAACGAACTGTAACGCGTTTAATTTGCGCTTATTCAGTCTCACTCCACGACTCCCTCCTTTCTCTCTGACTCCGCTGCTGTGTAACATTGTTGCTATTTTTGCGACTCACCTTTTTTTCTTCGCGGTCCCCCTCGCTGTATATAGACACTGTGTATCAGTGACTCCCGTAGATACACTGTGACATAAATGTATTTTCAGTCACATTGACACACGGCTTCTATTTTCGGGAGCTGAGCTGACAAACTCAGAAGAAGCAGCAGTCGCTCTTGTCACAACATAAGCTCCTCCCCCAATATGACGAACACTAGACGGCGTCAACCTCCTACGGCAAGCCCTGTTCACATATATTCTTTAAAACTAAATAGTGTCCATCGCCACATTACTGTTACTTGTTTTTTAAGGTATGAAATAATGACTAGGTTATTTTTCAATTTCACTAGTAACTATCCCTATTAGCCATACCAGGTTACTGGAATCTATAGCTCTACTAGTACTTGTTTATTAGATAGTAGACCTACTGTACTTATTTTTAAGACACTGGTGCAAATTCCACATGTTAAGAGTCATTACTATCTCCCTATGTACAACTGCATTTTTAATTATATTTTTTTTACTAGTCAAATAAATTAATTTATAGATTGGTTAGAAATCGTATTAGTAAAGTTAGAAATTAGAATTATCACAATGCATATTAGTGTCTAATAAATAGGTACTAATTTATATTTAATTGCTACTAAGAAAACTGGAATACTAGTAGGCCTAATGCTCCATTCACACCAAGAACAATAACTATAAAGATAACTATAAAGATAAAGATATTAGCGTCCACACCAGCACACATATCATCTCTTTAAGCACACGCTCGTCTGCCCCTTTAAATTCTCGAGCTCGTTATAGCAGGATGGATTCTGATTGGGTGTCAATGTTTGTATCATTCATCAGCTGGAAAAAAATTGATTTTTAGAACTATATCTTTATTGTTATCTTTATAGTTATCGTCCTTGGTGTGAGCAGGCCTTAACCATAGAATACAAGTAGACTACTAAAAGTACTAGTTACTAGCTCTAGTTCCTAAAGATGTAATTTTACTTAAAGTTTATGTAATTACTAGTCAAACAGACAAATTTATAGACTGATTTGAATCTTATAAGTAAAGTTGGACATTTTATAAGTAATTATAAGAATGCATATTAGTGTCTAATAAATAGGTACTAATGTCTATTTAATTGCTATTAAAAAACTGAAATACTAGTAGGCTTAACTATTGGAGTAACTAAGACATACTAGTCCATAAAGTAGTTACAACTAAAACTGGGAAAGGTGCCACCAATACTTGAAAACAGAGGCTATTAGTTAGAAGTGCACAGTCATTATCTAAACCAGAGTTACATTTTTCAGGATAGTGGCTAGTAGCCAAAAAACTATTGGTCACTATTGTACGGTGGCCGAGAAGTGCTAAACAAATCACAATTCTGAAAACAAAATAACAAATTACAAACGCAAATGCAAGTCTAAAAAACAAAATAACAATTCAGAAAACACAACAACAATTCAGAAAACATTATAACAAGTCAGAAAACACAATGACAAATTCGAAAACAAAATAACAAGTCAGAAAACACAACGACAAATCAGACAAACAAATTAACAAGTCAGAAAACACAACGACAAGTCAGACAAACCGGAAAAGGTAGGTATAGTTTGAGACAGCGCCATTGGTTTGGGATTACTCACCGCTGACTGGACGAGACATCTGTCAATCAACGTATACAGGGAAAAACCACCCAAAGAACAGCAGTCATGGTAGAAAGTTAGGAGATGGTATTAAAGTAGCTCAGTTTAAATGTATTGTATGAATTGCTTTTACTATGGAATAAAAAATACGGGATGTCTATTTACACTTTGTTAAAAGTGGCTATAAAACATCAGCTCCAGTGGTGCAGATGGATAAGCGTGTGTCCTTGGCTTTTTGACGAGATCGACCCGGGTTCGATCCCGCCTTTTGCCGAACTTTTTTCCCCTCTCTTTTCAAATCTCGTATCACATCGTAAAGGCATTTATTTTCAGTAAAAAATTAAGAAAATAATAAAAAAGTTGAAAATAAAGTATCGGGTAGGGTAGGTGTAGGGAGTTCTTTAATGTACCAATAAGGTGGCATCCATTTAATAATTAAAATTATAATTTACACTCAATACGTTATTATTGCATACTGTTTTATAATGTACTACAATACTGAAGTGCAGATAATTGCCACTATTTGCAACAAGTAGAATACATAGAAATCCTGCTATTTTAACATAGTGTAAATAGGTATTTGCACTTAGTGTAAATAGCATATTGCTAAAAAATACTGCTATTTTCACTTAGTGTAAATAGAATCCATTGCTAATACGAGATTTGAAAAGGGAGGGGAAAAAAGTTTGGCAAAAGGCAGAATCGAACCCGGGTCGATCGCGTCAAAAAGCCAAGGGCACGCGCTTATCTATCTGCATCACTGAAGCTGATGATTTAGAGCCACTTTTAACTAAATGTAAATAGACGCCCCATATTTTTTATTCCATAGTAAAGGCAATTCATACAATACATTTAAACGTTGTGTTTTCTGACTTGTTCATTTGTTTTCGGATTTGTCATTGTGTTTTCTGACTTGTTATAATGTTTTCTGAATTGTTATTTTGTTTTTTAGACTTGCATTTGCGTTTGTAATTTGTTATTTTGTTTTCAGAATTGTGATTTGTTTAGCACTTCTCGGCCACCGTACTATTGGATTACTTCGTAGTTATTACCGACATTTAACAGTTTAACAATTAAACAGATTCTAATTCCATGTAGTCTTAAGAAATAACTGTTACCAGAGCTTGCCATAAAACACCGCCTCCTCAACCTCCACCTCCTACTCTACTCGTGTCTCATCTTCAGTTTAAAAACAAATATTAAAAACTCAAGAACAGCGACTTAAACATGATGAAAACAACACGATAGAACTTCGATACTGTGTTTTTGTCAAAGGTAAAAAGCGGCAAACTAAGTGAGCGCGCGAAATGAAGTGAGAAAGGAAACGGCTTGCTATGACATCACCGTGTTTAACAGTTTGAGAAAGCGAATAGCCAACTATATGTGCATGTCATCGAATCGAGGAAGTGACAGGCACTGTGCGCAAAAAGTTAACAAAGACGACACTGTTGAGTAAAATCCTCCACAGCAACGATTACTGGCTGCCTGCTAAAAGTCCGTTACGTCTAGAGCCATTTTAATATTTATTATGGTTGTTAGACTGGCACTACCTTAGATACGATTGACGTAAGTTCTATAAAACAACAGCAACAATAGGGTCAGTGCTTTTGAAGTGGCATGTTTCTCATCCAATCGAATCCATCAGCGACTTGTCAGTGACCAATCAGAGAAAAGAGGTTGGCTGCGTTTTACGTTGCATGTGGCAGTGTCACGTGTAGTTGTAGGATCTGTGGAAGAGGTGTGGTACTGAACATGGGTTGTTTTTGCTGGGACTTAAGGAAATGTGTATTACCACCGTTTTACCACATGTAAAATGAGACACGCAGGAGATCAAAGGAATTACAACATGTTAAAACAATGCAAAATGGTTATACAGAGACCAGTAAATAAAACAAAACAGAATGAGGCCTTCATAAATGATTAACATTTATAAAATTGTTTGTTTTACTTTGAAACACTACATTAGGCCTATCTTAATACTAAAATACGGTGAGAGTGTCATCATTTTCATAACTTTCTAATCCACAGTACAGTTAACTTGTGCAACAATACAGATAAATTCACCAGGTGATTACTAATACACACTGACCTCAATATCCAGTGTTTTAAGCACTTTCAAATTGCACCTGGACATAAATCTTGAAGGTAAATATGAGCAATCATGGATTGCATGGATGCACTTTATATTTCATCTTAAGAACATCTTTTAACTTTTTTTTTTTTTGCACTTGAGTAAATATATTGATATTTCAGCAGAATTTTAGAATGTTAAGATAAAGTAACAGATCTTTTCCTTGCTGATCCTTCTTTACAACGTCTGGAAATGTTAAAGTACTTCATTATTCAGTTTCTTAAGACAAGAACCAGTGCCACATGAAATAAACTACAATAGAAGATATAGCCATTGAATCCACAGCAAACTCATGCTGTGGATATTGATGAAATCCCTGATTATGTGCCCTCTGTGACTTCACATTTTTTCACATTCTATTTGAAGCCTTGTAAAGCTGGAGCTGTACATAAAAATAGTCCCATCAGGGCAAGGCACATACTCTGGATTCCCTGTGCAAACACCCATTGGCACCAGAACCCTAACAAACCACACTGAACCCTCAGCCACCTGTGGTCTAGAGAAAGAAACACAATTTGTTCTTCTTGCAGCAAATTTAGTCTTTAATCAGCTTTAACTGAAAATACTGTAGATAACAGCCAGTAAGCAGAGTAAAAGGATTATGAAATTAAAAAAATATATATTTTTAAGTTTAAGTTTACAGCAATTTAAACTGAGCCCTTGAAGGAGATTTCTTTAAATAATATAATGAAATGTGAAGCAGGTATAGCTGCAACTGAAATATTACCATATATATTCATATACTTCAGTATTGAACCAAAAGTAGCTGATTCCTTCAAAAGATCCTCCTAGAAAATCGGTTTCCTCTACGCACAGTTTCAATTTTATTAAAGTAAAATGAAAGAGGTGCAATCCTGCAAAAAAAAGTTACAACTTGCAATGTTTCGCTTTGATGATTTTAAGTGCAATTATGATGAAGAAAACAGAAAATATAAAGGAAACAAAATACAGATGGACATAATGATTATGTCCATCTTTATTCCATCATTCTATTACTTACCAATCACCAGCAGTCAGGTCATGTGTTAATGTTTTGTATACAATGCATCTTCTCCATTGCCCCTCCCCATCTGTGAATGGCTGTGTGTCTCACCTGTTTCTTGCGATGATCGATTACCTTCACAGAACCTGCTGCTAAGGCCTTCCTCGTGTATCTTTGTGCCACTCTTACTTTCTTAATTTCCCTGGTATTACTTGAATTTTCTCTCTTGTTCTCTGTCTGCCTTCCTCTCTCACGTTCACTCTTTCTCTCTTTTGCTTTCTATCTCCCTTGCATTCCTCAAAGCCAGACCAGCTGGCTTTGGACGGCTTTCTTCTTGCTCCTGTAAGGCCTGACTTCACACTCTCGTCCCTGGGTCTTTCTGCCGGAAGGGAGCTGGGCGACAGAAGTTTGAAGGGTAGGATCCCAGATGGACACTGACATGCTGGGCATGCGTGTATGTGACAGGGCTTGGCTCAGGGGAGTGGTGGACCAGCCGCAGCTGTCACTCACCAATACTGAGGGTGTTAGATGTGTTTTGTGTTGTTATTATTATTAATAAAAGTCAAAAATTGTGCTGATCGGAGAACAACAATGCCTGACTGTTCACAAGAGATGGAAGAAAGAAGGAAAGAATTCCCTGTCGGTTCGCTTTCTCATAATAAAGACTTGCCAGCGCCGGCACCAATATTTCAAAGTGCCATTCTTTTTGCCAGTAGAAGTCATCTAAACGTGAACCATCAAAATTTGAGCAAAAGTTCAATAGTATATTGACAAAGTTTTGGGTTCAACAGAGTAGTGAAAAATAAGCCAGCTGAAGTACTTCTATTTCCCTGCCAGCTGAAGTTAAAGTATTGCATTGATAGGTCATAAAGACCCAGAGAATTGCAGTGGGGTTTATAAAACATACTCAAATAGAAGACAGCTGACATTTTCAGCATTGTACCAGACCACAAATAGCTCCAGACTGCTTAGATACTGCGCCACCAATTAAATAAAGGATCTTATAATATCGCTCATATAACAGACTATTAGAGCACCATATAGTCAAGTTAGAGTTTCTGTCTGAACTTTCTTTTTGAAGAACAACAGGGTCATTGGACTCATAAACACACTGAAGGTCATTGTTTTGACAGCAGATTCTTGATTAATACATCATTACAATTAGAACTAGCCAGAATTAAACTAGCCAAACTCTTTCAAATATCCCGCTCATTGTCCACAGTTCCCAGCTAATGTTTCTCGGTGTTAAGTATTATCTGACCTGAATACAATATTCATATATTATGTAAAAGAGCATCTCGCTACAATAGTTAACAGTTGTTAATGCACTAGGTATCATCTAGGTAATACATCATTACAATTAGAACTAGCCAGAATTAAACTAGCCAAACTCTTTCAAATATCCCGCTCATTGTCCACAGTTCCCAGCTAATGTTTCTCGGTGTTAAGTATTATCTGACCTTATCCAAAAATACTGAAGACAATACAATATTCATATATTATGTAAAAGAGCATCTCGCTACAATAGTTAACAGTTGTTAATGCACTAGGTATCATCTAGGTTAATGTTAAATTCTATAAACCAATACATTTTAGCATTTCAAGTTGTACAAATGAACATTAGTTATTAGAAATGAACATGAGTGAGTAATGAAAAATAGTATAAATGAACATAACCTAGACAAAAAATGCTGAAAAAACTCATTTACTAATGGTATGAACTGAACCTTATAGTGAAGTGTTAATAATAACACCATTCTTCATACGTTTTTTACAATTTTCACCATCCACACACTTGTTGAAATGATCAGCAGACAGAGCCTAAAGGTAGGATGACAGAATAAAGAGAGGAACTGGAATAGCGCAAAAGTACATCAGTATGTCTCTGTGCAGATTGAGTCTGTGCATTGGATAACTTTGCAGAGGCTCTAAAAATACCCTGTGTCTCACAGTCTGGCTCTGTTCTCTCATTACCGCACGTAATTAACACTGAGCATGCCCTGCCAGCACTGAGTAGTGCAGCACTGCACACAACTGTCACATACTCATGCATCTATGTAACATATCTAATCAAAACCTCAGAAGTTTTCACCAACTACTTTTTCTCCTTTCATTCACTCTAATAATCTCTGAGCTCATAATTATACACCCTGACACTCTCACAACTTTTATTTTCCATTTTTTACCTCACAACTTATAAATGTAGTAGGTTAGTGTATCCTTCAAATCGTCTCGGTTTCAATGACTTACAGACAGCTGCTTCCAGAGACAATAAAAGCCCTTTAATTTGCCCACCATTTGTTGAAGTTACTGTACAGCACCATTTATAAGAGAGAGACAGAAAGAGCCATTTTGTACGAGCCGTTGCGAGTTCATTAAAAATTGAGCAAGGTCAGAAATGAAACCATTCCTCCCATTTTTCATTCAGTCCTTAATATCAGGAATCATTTAATTAATCTCGCAAAATGGCCTCAAATTAATTTACTTTGACACATAGCTGTCGGGTAACGTGACTAGAGATCTACTTGATAAACAAGATTGAAACTGAGGTGCATCAACAGAAATTATCTCTTGTTAAACTACGTAAGGTTCTAGAGATTTGTATCTCTTTTTTTAACTCCCACAAAAAAGTCTACCAATGTTAAACTGTTCACTTAAGAGTTGTTAAATGCAATAAAACTGACCTAATAATTACATTACCACATACATGCTTTCAGGTTTTCCAAACCACTTGTTTGTTATTTTCAGATCCTATCTAATCTCCAAAATACAATGTGTAATAAATCATTCATGTTTGCCTTGACACAGCCTTCATGATAATGTTTTGGCCTGATGACCTCTGCTTGTAATCAAGTGCCCTCTATCTAATGCAGCCTGTTATCAAGCAAAATATTGAACACCTTTCTCTAAAAAAGAAAAACAAAAAGTGTAATGGGAACAATCAATATCCTTGTGCACTTTACAGTAGCTTAAGTTAGGACAGTAAGATAGACACCATAAAAAGCATTTGATCAATAAGGCCAAACACAGAACTAAAACACAGAGGCTTTCATCACTTCACAAAGGCCTTGTACTGAAATCATTAACACACAACCAAAGAGTTTCCAGAGAAGATGTTCATTGAACACCTGACACAAGTACTGTACATCCCTTACCGCTCAACCTCACTGCAAAACTGTCATGGCATACTAAGAAAAGATACAGCCAAAGGGGCAGTTTAACCAATTAGAAATTATTTAAAAGGGAAAATCACAATTATATGTGACCAACTCCGTGCTGGGATAACCAATAGAAGTCTTTTTGTTAAATTATACTGCCACAAGACAATATTATTATTACTTAAAACTACCATTTTATTGGTAGTTGGTAAAACTGGATTTTTAGCAGCAATTACTCTTCAGTCACATGATCATCTGAAAGCATTGTAATATGGTGAACTGCTCAACTTATCACAGTGGAAACCACTGAAATGTTTTTTTCCCCTCATGGTTCTTTGATGAAAAGAAAGTATAAAGTTACGATCTTTCCTGTAACTTTTGATAATTTTAATACAGCCTTGATATTTAAAGCACAAACACAAAGACGTTGAAACAAAATGTGTTAAAACACTCCTCCAACTACTAGAGCACAAACCAAACTAAAGTTTCTGTTTACTTTACACCTGAAGCATCCCAGCATGCTCATGCTGATGCACGTCTAAAAGTCGTGTAAAATGCAGAAAGGCAGATCCCCAGGGGAAACTCCCATGTGATTTTCACTGCTCTTAAAACCTGACTATAATCACTGTGGCTTTGTCTGCAAAAGGAAAGATCTGTGGATTCACTTGTCTACATTCCAGATGTTAAACCCAGAAGTAATACATCAAATAACCACACTGAAAAGCATAGAGCTCCAGTAACACTTTCCCAAAGACAATACATCAGCAAATAACACTGTGGAGTTACAGAAAAAAAAACACTCTGCGATTTGAGATGATGTAAAAGTGATCATTCTTGTGTTACACACCACAACACTTATTGTTAAAAAAAAAATCTAATTTTTTCTACTCCTTGGAGCTGAATGTGCATAATGCTGCAGAATATGAATTGTGATAAGCTCATAAAGCGAGATGCCTTCTTGTGTTTTCTGAGATTGCAAAACTGGATGGGTGTCCTTGAGACTGACATTGTTCATGGACCCACAAAGGAGGCCAATGTCATATGGCTAAGATATGAGCATGCTTTTTATATAATAAATGGTATGTGTTTTAAAACACCCAACACTTACCACTCTGGCTTGCATATAACTTTAAATAATTCATGTGTAAAATCCAATCTAATGCTAATTGAGCACTCAAAAACCCAAGCATTAATGTTAAGTCATTCTGAGTTCAAGCAAACAATTTTTTCTATTATACGTTTTACTGTATATGTTGTGCTGACAATTCTTTATTTTGATTTCTGTTATGCAGAATTCAGTTTCTGTTGGGAGTTTGGGAGACATGAAGCGAGAAATTAAACATTTGAAAAGAAAAACATGGAGATTTATTCCCAACAAGCCAGATTTGAAGAACCATGTTTCATGCCAAATGTCCTTAAGGATTTTAATTTTTAAGCCTTTTAAGGACATTAGGGCAAATTTCTTGGCAACCCACTGTAGCCAGCATTTCTCCACTCAAACACCCAAGCATTAATGTTAAGTCATTCTGAGTTTAAGCAAACAATTTTTTCTATTATACGTTTTACTGTATATGTTGTGCTGACAATTCTTTATTTTGATTTCTGTTATGCAGAATTCAGTTTCTGTTGGGAGTTTGGGAGACATGAAGCGAGAAATTAAACATTTGAAAAGAAAAACATGGAGATTTATTCCCAAAAAGCCAGATTTGAAGAACCATGTTTCATGCCAAATGTCCTTAAGGATTTTAATTTTTAAGCCTTTTAAGGGCATTAGGGCAAATTTCTTGGCAACCCACTGTAGCCAGCATTTCTCTGTACATCCCAACAAAGGAAGGTTGCTGAACCATTCCATGGAAACTATAGAAGGAATTTTGCGAAGAGAAGATGAATGTCACAAGGTTATGGAGGTAATATGATTTTCACATGATGTTGATTGCAGTACTGTATTGCTATGCATGTAGCACGGATTAAAGATGAAAATAAATGTACTCCTGGTGAATACTGATATATTATATTATACGAAACATCCCGAGCAAACAGATTTAATGTGTGCATGGATAAATATTTGCAGCGCTATATCAAACTCAGAAGCTAAATTAGGACTATCACAGAGGGCAAGTGGGGTCTTCAGTTAGCCGCCAGGGTTGTTTGGCTGACCGCGTTTCTGAATTAAGACGGGCCTATTAGTGAGACTCGCATACACAATTACGGCCTTATGAGTTGTTTTCTTAATTTCTGTGACATCTCTGTAACTTTCGAATG